CTCCTTCCTTCCTTCCTCCCTCCCTCCCTCCCTCCCTTCCCTCCCCTTCCCTTCTTCCTTCCTCTCTCATTCCCTTTTTCTTTGGATTAGCCTTTCATTCTATGTAAAAATTCTGATTACATATAAATAATAATAATAAAAAAGAAATCAGAAGGGTTTGCCAGCCTCTGTTGAAAAATAATACAGTATTAAAAACCCATCGAACCATCACGAGACGCAGCCGTGGAGGCGAAATTTTCATTTTTAATACAGTAACTGCCGATAAATATCACCCAAGCTAAAGCTCTTTGGGGATCCTCCGTAATTTTTAAAGGTGGGAAGGGGTCCTGAGAGAAAAAAAGGTTAAGGGACCACCCTCTGGACCCTTTTGGGCTGTGCTCTTAATTCCCCCTGCATTGGGCCGCGGTTTTTTGAAAATCCCTGCGAAACTTAGATGAAATGTTGATGACTAAAGCGGAGGGGCGTCCCTTGCAGAACCCCAGTGAAATCCTTGATTCCCAAAGGCTGCACAAATTCATTAATAATTTTAAAGGGGGGGAGTCCCACCTTTGGAAACCCAAGGACGGAGGGGGGCTTTTCAGAAAGGAGTGCAAAATCCCAGAGCCTCCTTTGCGCACTTGCATCTTACCCCAAAGTTACAACTCGGGTCGTGGCGGAAGGGGGAACCCCGTAAAATGCAGAGAGAAAGGATCTGATGGTGGTACATTGTCTTCTGAAATCTCTTTTCTAATTTGTGGGGCTCTCCTTACCACCGTTGGCCCTGAAAAGGCAAGCAGGGCCAGATCTGCTTTCGACGGGGATGGGAGACCACCAGGAGATCCCCGAGCTTTTGGCGAGGAAACAGACAATGCCAGGACAGCAGATGGAAGTGGACTGTGAAGTCCCTCGGCACCCTGAATTTACCCTTTCCCAAAAATCAGCGGAGAAGCCCCGATGAAGGAATCGGATCCAACGTAGGCAGGACTTGCAAGAAAACGTTGCACCGTGCCCTCCCGTTTCTCCAAACGCCACCATGTTTCTATTCTGCCTCCCTTTGGGGCTTTCTCCTTCCTTCTCCCCACAATGTCCAACTTCTCTAGTGCCTCCAATTCCTCACCTTGTGCCCAGCAATGCCATTTTGGCCAAAAAAAAAAAATTAAATTAAATTAAATTAAAATAAAATAAAGAGAGAGAGAGAGAAATGGCATTGGGCGTCTAAACCCTGGAACGCTGAAATGCAACTGTGCCATGCTAGCTATAATTCATTTAATGCCTATCACGGACTGGGGACAGGAGACTAGAAAACAAGCCAAAACACTTTAGCGTTTTTATTTTACGTCCAGAAAAGTGAAATTTGGTTGTTTCTTTTCCCCGGCAGATTAAGTGGGTTCACACTTGGTCGGCCCAGTGGAAACACGCCATCTTTTTGCTAGGGAGCGTCACCAACGGTCGCCCTCTTTTCTCTCTTAAAGCATGCTGGCTGGGGAATTCTGGGAGTTGAAGCCCACCCCTCTTAATGCATGCTGGCTGGGGAATTCTGGGAGCTGAAGTCCACCCCTCTTAAAGTTGCCAAGGTGGAGAAAGAGTTTCTCGGATGCGAGGAACTCCCACCAGGAAGCAGGACTCATCTGTCATCATGGGGAACCTGGGGGTCTTATTCCTGCTCGTTTCCCTTCTAAGGACAGGAATCATATAATAGTGGGGCCTCTGTCCTTAGCCTATACGCAGGCAGCAGCGAATGGGAAAGTTTTGAACCATCTTCTACAGAATGAATGCTCTCGAATCTAGGGCAGGGCTCTCCAAAGACCAGGGGGTCTACGAGCGGGTTCCCAGACTCATAAAGATTCAGGAGAAACTTGGAACAAAGTTTATCCCGTGATCAGCGAAGAGACCTGCCTTCCTAACAAAGCTGTTAGAAAGAAAATCGAAGCCTCCCCAGTCTGGCGCACGCGGAGACGTCTTGCTTTTAAGGGGGACGAGCGGAGTCGCTGGAATTCTCGAAACGCCGTCCCTTCCATCAATCTTGCTAAAGAAAACTCCGAGGATCTGGCTCGGGAAAGAATCGGTGTTGGTTTCAGGCAGCCGCCGATAGGTAGGGGTTTTGCTCCATCTGTTCCTGCTAATTCAGCCTCCGGCAAAGGGGGAAGGGGCTCGCCTCCTGCCTTTGTCCCCCCCCTTCCCCAAGAATTTAGTAACGTTCGAGGGTGGCAAGATTCCCGTAATATCAAACGGGGCGCACCGAGTCTTGCTGGAGAACGGAAGTAATGTACAACGTGGGCCGACGGGAGCCCCCTTCTACGCTCGGGCACGCGAGGAAAGGAAGTCAGGAAGGTGGGTCTAGGTTTCCAGGTGAAGCGGAGGTACAGCGTGGGGCGGACTCCCCATCCGCCGCCCCCTTTGTCCGGTTTCCGCAGCGTTCCTCCAGTCGGCACAGCCCCCCCAAATGCGGAGACTAGGGAATCTTGCTCGGAAGAGAGACCGGATAGCGCAGAGTCATATGTTCGGCTCCTTTGAAGGGGAGTTTTTCGGAGGAATAATGGCCCACCACTTCGGGGACGCTGTTGAAGAGGCCGCCGGCTTGGTCCAAAGTGTATTTGTGATCCTTGGTTTGGGCCACGATGATGTGAACGCATCCCTGGCTTGTCCTGGGAGGCAGGAAGGGGGCGAAAACACAAGAACGTTTGTGAAAACTGTCCTGGGATTGCCCAGTTTCTCTATCCATCCTTCCAGGTTGTATTTTGGGGTGCTTTGGGGGGGGCACATCCTTGTATCTGCTCCCTTCTCCAGAATCCTGCCCAACCAAGACAAGAACACTCTTTTCGTTCCCAAGGAAAACCTATGGATTTTCACACACCCCCAGCTTTGGGATCTTAAAGATGGTTTAACGACGGTTCCTTTAATGACGGTTCCATTTCAGCCTCTAATGGTTCTCTCCCTTGCTGGCCAGATAAACAGCACCCCAGGCATGGTGGCACAGGGTAGGTGGGTTTTGTTAACTTGGGGAAAGATTGACCACCATGGGCCCTTAATCCTTTCTTTTCAAAGCAGGTGGAAATCGGTTCCTTTTATTTATTTTCAAGCTGGGGGAAAGGGTTGCTAGGGGAGGGGATGAATCCAGAACGGGCGCCCCCGAATCGAAAGAGGGAAGGAGAGAATCAGAGCTGGGCCAACTGTTTTGTGTTGGCTTCCCAGCCTACTAGCTGAGCTTCAAATTGTCAATCCCCCCCCCTCCATTTTTCTTTCCCTGATTGTTTCAAAGTTCAGCATCCTGAGGAAGGAAACCTGGTCGCACCCAGCCGGCAGCCCCGGTTTGGAGCCAGGGACAGGGAGAGGAGTCAGGGCTGGAAAAGGCAAAGGGGTGGAAGGGTGCAAAGATGTGTGTGGGGGGGTCTTTTTTCCTTCTGTAGCTGCCCCCAATAAAAGAGGAAGGAGGGAGAAGGAAAATGTGCAGCGCGTGGAAAGTGAGCTGGACTTGCAGGAAGAAGGTCGCCCGTCGTCCCTTGCCCCGGCCAACGCACACCAATTCCCAGCTTCCCAGACCCTGTCCCTGAGCCAAGCCGGCCCTTTGCTCACTCACTTGAGGGCGATGGAGTACTTGCTGGGGCCCATCTCGCTGGTGCGCACGAGGTAGCCCGCCTCCGGGCACGGTTGCAGCCGGCTCTCTGCCTCGGCTCGGGTGATGGAGCCGTGGAACCAACTGCAGGGAAGGGCAAAGGTGATCTCCTAGGATGGTCATCCTGCCCACCCTCTTCGGGGGGGGGGGTCCTCAAAGCTCCCAGAATTCTCAGCAGAGGTTTGGCTGGCTGGGGGATTCTGGGAACAGATGTCTCAACCCCTCCAGCAAGCCCTTCAAAAGCCCTAGGTTTTTCTTTGGTGTGGAGGCAAGCGACGGGCCACTCCTGGGCTGGATGTGGCCCCGGGCTTAATCCCAAAATTTCCACCCCCCAAAAAATGGCAGGTTAAGAGGGATCTTCCCCTTCCTTCTCAATTGCCGGTCAGGAGAGAACGAAGCAGGAATGGGAAAGGAAATCTGAGCGCGAAACAGAGGGAAAAGGGGGGAAAATGTGCCATGGTGCTCTTGATCGGCTTGCTCCCTGCTACAGCCCCTGCCCATGATGAGTCCATCTTCAAACCCAGTTTACAGTTTCCCAGAACAGCCAGCCCAACTCTCTTACGCCCCACTTCTTGAAGAGCTCTCCCACCCAATGAGGACTAGCAGCTTGCCTCGAAAGGGGAAGAATAGGTAGAATGAACCTTGCGAGCGCTCAGGAAGCCCCAAGGATGCTAGGCCCGACCCTGGGCGGCTTACGGCTGTTTCTCCAGGATGAGGGCAGAATCCACCCGCTCTCCGTCCATGCCCGGTTCGATGCCCGCGGGGGACTTCACCATCTTAGACGGCCAGCTTCTCGGGCAGGGGTGGGGCTGCGGCGGTGAGGCCACCATCTCAGCGGCTGGCACGGGCTTGTCCGATCCCTCAAACTGCACTGGAAGGAGAAAGGAAGGACGCGCAAAGATTGGGGCCGCGAAAACCTGGCTCCCACCAGGTTAAAGGCTGTCAAAACTAGGCTCTGGGCTTGCTCCTCTGGAAACAAGCCAGGATGTGAAGCCAAGGTGGTTTGTTCACATCTGGATGTCTCAGGCTATGAACAAGCTGAGATTCCCCAGTTAGACACGGCTGTGCAGAAACACGAAGGCTGCTTAGGTCCCAAGCACAAGCAACTGGGCATTGGAACCACCTTTATCCTTCTGGAGGGCAGAAGGCAGAATTTCAGCATCTCTTTACATCCAAAGTTAGACTTCATGAAGTGTCACTCCAGATTTCTCTTCCCTACTTTCATTTTTAAAACCGATCGCCTGTAGGAAAGCCTCCGCTCACCGCGGGCGAGCAACCAAACCTCCGTTTGGTCCAAGACAATCCCTCGCGCCCCAATTCCAGGCTTTGTCTTCCTACCTGACAGAACTTTAACAATCTGGTCCTTCTTCCACTCCCAGGGCTGTTCGTACTCTGCCGGCGGCCGCTCGTCGTTCGAAGGGAGGCGGATCTCGAACCTGGAGCCCGTCTCGGCCGGCTCGTAAGGGGTATCGTAAAGCTGCAGGGGTTTTGCCGCTGGGACTTTGACAGCCGCGTCTCCCTTGGATCCTGGTTCATCCAGAAGCAGGACCGTTTTCCCCCCAAAGGGGTCTTTGGAGCCCCGTCTCCGGATTTCTGCAAGCGGAAATGGTGTGTCGGAGGGTTTTTTTAAAAAATATAACTTTATTAAAATTGTAAACAAAGATAAAATGAACAGAAACTAATGTTTAGAATAAAGAAAAGAAAGAAGGAAAGAGAGAAGGGAAAGACGAAGTGCAGAAAAAAGAAAGAAAATATAAAGTAGCTTCTGATTTTCTTTACAGCAGTTATAAGTGTAAATTATTTTACTCTATGGCAGTGTTTCTCAACCTTGGCAGCTTTCAGATGGGTGGACTTCAACTCCCAGAATTCCCCAGCCAGCTTGCTGGCT